ATTAAATCACTTGGAATATAAAAGCATGTTAAATTAAACTCAGCTCTTGAAGAACATAATTATCAACTAACAAATATTACTTTGACTGTAAAAAAAAAGGAATACTATTGCTGGTTAATAGTTACTTTTACTTAAAATATTTATAATTGGAGGTACACAAATAGACCTCTAGTCATAGATTGTGAAAAACACTTTTGATAGCTAAATATTAAAAAAATCCAAATATTAATAACTATTGACATTTACATAGTCTTTTCCTCCAAAGCTCTTGACAAACATCACTGACCGTATACACACAGGAATAGTGCTGAAATGCTGCAGCTCTTTCAAAGGACTAGACATTAATAAAAAAAAAAGTAACAAATGGCTGATCTACTTAAATATAAGTTTGCAGAATACAGGTATGGGATTTGGAAATAAAACTCATGCCACATCAGCTCCCTCCCAAAGTGTTTGTCACAGTTTATTTCAACTTTATTGAATTACTGGTCTTATTTAACTTGACTTTCCTACTAAGACACCTATGGTGTTTGTATTTTTTTCTTATTTGGACCCTGAGCTGGTTTATGACTGCTGTAGGCAGTGAATACGCAGCAGGGCTGATGGCACCTCCTTTCTGACGGCATCAGCTCTGGCTCTTTAGCACCTGCTAGTGTGAGGAGGGCTGATATGTCAGTGCAACACAGGGGTGCCTCCTCCTGAAGGACTGGTTTTGTTTCATCATAAACCAAGATTGTTCTTAGTTATTTGAGAAAAAAACACATGGCTCAAACAAGTCTCATTGATGAAATACTAGATCAAATGAGTTGTTTCTGGGCTGCTTGGTGACACTGATTAAAAAGATGCCATGTTTGTTGTACTCACTTGAACAAAGTGTAAATTACATGGCAATAATTGTGTTTAAGCCCAGAAAACATGAAATGTTTAATGTACACTCTCAGGTCTCTTACTGTAAAATATTAATTATTTTATTGCATTCTCAAAATATAACTGGCAATGATAAAAATGTAATTTAGTTTCTTTATATTTCCTGTAATAATGTTATCCTTTCAAAATTTCAACTCAGGGCTTATTACAAATCATTTGCTTTAAATTATAACATTCTTTCTGCCTCAATAAACCCTATATATCTTTAAAAGTTCAGCTGAACTCCCATTCATCTTTAAAGCTTTCATAAGTTTTTCAGAAAACAAGGCAGTGCATGTTTTCATAACTCCCATTTATACAATCATTGTACCATTTACTGAGCATGCATTACAAGTCAAGGACTGTCTAGTCCCTGGGGATTCAGGGATGGCCAACACACATTCCTCAACTTTCAAGGAGGTCACAATCTAGTGTGTGTCGGGGTCTTGGCAGAGATGACATAAAAGGTAACTGGCAATATGAAATAATTTTAGAAGTCTATGTAGGGTGTCCTAGAAACAGAGAGGAAAGATAGCCACTTCTTCTGGTGGGAGGGAAGGAAGGCAGGGATTCAAAGAAAGTGTAAAGGAGAGATGCTGTCTGAATTAAATCTTGAAGGACAAATGGGGATGAGATAGTCTGCAAATGGGATTGGACAGAGACAGAAAATCTCAGACAGATGGGGGAAGTAGCATGTAAAAAAGCAATGAGAATAAGGAGAGAATTTCAGTACAAGAGATGCACATAGTGCTGGTGAAAATCTGGGGTCAAATAGACCTGTGTAGTCCAGCTATGGTATGTAATAATTACACAAACTCTGGGCAAGTCACTTAATTTCTTATAAGCCTTAGGTTTTCTACCCATCACATGGGGCAAGTACCCTGCTGACAAATCATCCAATTGGTAGAACTAGTTTTCTTCGAGATTTTTGTGGGAACATCTATCAAGAATAAAAAAAAAATCAGAACAATGGGCCTAAAAATTACGTGTCTAATAACAAAATTAAATTTCACTTGAGGAGTGTTAACATTAATTTAAATATTTAAATTTTATAAATGTTTTAAATTTAAAATGTGATTTATAGTCTTTAGAGTTAAGTCATGTTTAGAAAAAAGTATGTCTGTCTTTTGTTATAGCTACACTGAAACGATGGAGGGAAAAAAAAATCAAAGGATTTATTTTCCACATGTCCAAATAATATCCAGCATTTTTAAAAACAAGTTTGTAAGTTAGTACAATGTATATCACTCTTCATTTGCTGAGAGGAAGCCTGCTTGATTAATGTAATTAAAGGGTTGCTTGTAACTCAAGACTCAATTAAAAAAATAAATTTGGCCTTATTAATTTACTTCCAACTGGTGGTTTTCCTAGTGTGATTTTTGAGCTAAAATCTGTGGTTGCTTTGTTCATGACACATGAATTGTTTTAGCACATCCCCTCTCCTGCTGTGCATATGATTAAGAAAGCAGAGGTTAAACAGTGCAGTAAAGAATTGGGTAAATTCATTCTATTTTTGCTCACAGCAGTTTTTATTCCCCCTCCCCCCCTTTTCAGGACTGGAAGAGTGCAGAAACCTATTATCTTCTGAAATTATTTAAGATATGTTCTTATGCTGAAAATGTAACTCCTCTCCCAACATTTTCCAGTACACTGATTTTGTGATGTCTGTGCTATGGATATTGTCTGTATTGGCAAGAAAACCAAATGCAAGTGCATCCTTTATTGAGTGCTCGTGTGTGCTAGGCATCGTGACAAGCATTTTGCATACACTGTTTTCTTTTCATTTGTGATAATCCTATGAGGGAAGGATAACCATTCTCATTTTTAGATGAGGAACAAGAGGCTCTGAGAGGTTACACTACTGTTCCAACACTCCACAATGAGCAGTTGACAGAACTAAGATGACAATTTTGGTCTGTTTCTTTCTAAACTTGAGTTCTTATCCATTTGCATTTATTTTTTTGTAGGTAGCATTTGATTTAAAGGATTTGAATCTAGTTTGATACAGCATCTTGCATATAGTTGGTATAACATTAAATTCAATTGACTAGGAATTTTACGCTCATGAGGACAAAAAACAGGCAGTTCTTGCCCTCTGAGTTAATAGTCTCATGCGGATGTGATTATCATATAAAGTACAATATAAAAAGCACCATGAAAGGCAGTTCAGGATAGTGGGAAAACCATGACAAATTCAACATGTCCAAAGGAACGCTTAGTTTCTTCCCTTAAGCCTGCTCCTGTTCCAGTCTTCCAGGTGAGGCTGATACCACTCAGCTGCTCAAATCAGAATCCCGGGGGCATCCTCGATTCCTCCCATTCCTTCACCCCTTACACCCAGTTCTTCGGCTAGTCCTGTCAGCTGTGCTTTGAAATATACCTGACATCTACTTCTCTCAATCTTCCCTGAGACCACCCTTTCCAAGATACACATCACTTTCGAACGGGTCTTCTGATCCCCTTATCCAGGAAGAACCACATACAAGGGGCAGGCAGCGTAGGTTTTGAGGAGCGTGAAGTTAAATTACGTTACAAAATTGCACAGGGAAGTGAATACAGAGAAATCACAAGGTGAACATATAGAATGCTAAAAAAATTTAATATAAAACATTTAATATAATATATTATATATATTAAAAAGCTGATAAAGTCCACAAATGTCATAAAAGAAAAAAACAAAAATAATTAACTGCTTGATCTAGATGTAAGTACATTTTACTCTACTTTTTGGGCTTCATACTCTGATCAGTGATTCAAAAAATTGACTACAATTTTGTAATATTATTTTCCACAGAAAGAATAAAATGATTATTTCAATCTTTAGCTTGGTTAATAGAAATTATTTTTATTATCAATACAGTTAAGGAAAATTTCAGCCTCACAACTCATAACACCATGTATATTTTAGGATTTATGTCAAATTTCAGAAAACTTACATCAAGTTTCCTTCATATATGAACTATAAGATTTAAGGTTCTTTTCAGGTTCTCTCATGCAGTGAACAATTAAAAATAATCTTTACTCCTTGGATGGATGGCACTCATTAACCAGTTTGCATCCGTGTCTTCATGGTTTTTTATACATTTGATGTTATCTTCATTGATGTAATAGTTTTTGTAAAAATACAAGAAATATAAATTCTTTACAATGTTTTCATATGATTCACTCTTCTTCACTAAAAGGACCATCAAGCAATCTAGAACCTTATTCATTTGCTTCTATTTAAAGTGTATTTCTTCCTCTAATTAGATTGCTAATTTTGTTATGTCTGAATTTTTGGGAGTTAAATTTACTCATTAATGTCAAAACAATTTATATTGACAATTGCTCATCTGTATTGCTCATTTCATATTCCACTATATTTTTATTTTTCCTCAGTTCTTTAATCAATTTAAAAATGACAAAAGGAAGTACTGTGAATATAAGTCCAAATCAAAAGTAATTTCTCACTTGTTGAACTAAAACATTCCAAAAGTCTGCCCAAATTACAGTTAAAATGGTACATGCAAAATTTAATGAATAAAATGTTTGCATTTCATTTGCACTTGGGTTTTTATTCCAAGTCTTCAAAAATATTTTAGAGTTCTTAAAATGTCATTTAACATCTATTGCAAGACTGGAATAACTTTTTACACAGCTGATGATTATTAGAATTCTCTATAGATGAGCTTCTAGCTCCATACATTTCAAACTTGGTTTCTCTGCTACTACTTACACATGTCCAGAGCCTGGCCCTAAAGGACACATTCACACTGCAATGTGGTCTTTGATCTTGAACGTTTGTATCATGATGTCATAGTGGCTGGTTGAAGCCATAGCTGCACAAAGATGGCAAGATATAGATTATTTTAGAGGTTCTCTCTCCCAATTCAGTGACCTTTCTACTATACTTGCCCAGCCATGTATCTCCAACTGCCTGTAAGAAGTTTATATTTTGTCATTTCAGTATCACATTATTAATGTATTTAACACTAAAGTCATCATCACAAACCTTTCTATCATTATGAAAAATTACCTTTTTAAGAGCCCCCGCCCCGCGCCGGCCGCGCCGGGCCGGAGCCGGGCGCACGGCGCTCAGTCCGCCCGAGGCGCGCATGTGGGCGCCGGGCCGGCCGTCGGCATCCCCGGCTAGCATGGACAGCCGCCACACCAGCGCCGCGGGCCTCGGCGACCTGGTGCAGTTGAGCGCGGCCCTCCCGGCCACGCGCGTGGAGGTGTCGGTGTCCTGCAGAAATCTTCTTGACAGAGACACGTTTTCTAAATCTGATCCAGTTTGTGTCTTATATGTACAAGGCATTGGAAATAAAGAATGGAGAGAGTTTGGAAGGACTGAAGTGATCGATAATACTTCAAATCTTGATTTTGTAAGAAAATTTATTCTGGATTACTTTTTTGAAGAGAGAGAGAATCTTCGATTTGACTTGTATGATGTCGACTCAAAAAGCCCCACCCTGTCTAAGCATGACTTTCTGGGACAACTGTTTTGTACATTGGGGGAAATTGTTGGTTCACAGGGAAGTCTCCTGGAAAAGCCAATAGTAGGAATTCCAGGGAAGAAATGTGGTATGATCATACTTCCAGCAGAGGAATTAAACTGCTGCAGGGATGCTGTCCTGATGCAATTTTGTGCTAACAAATTGGACAAGAAGGACTTCTTTGGAAAATCAGATCCTTTTCTTGTGTTTTATCGAAGTAATGAAGATGGCAGTTTTACTATTTGTCATAAAACAGAAGTTGTCAAAAATACTCTAAACCCTGTATGGCAAGCGTTCAAGATCTCAGTCAGAGCGTGATTGGCGATTATGGCGATTATGACAGAACAATCAAAGTGGAGGTATATGACTGGGATCGAGATGGGAGCCATGATTTCATTGGAGAATTTACAACAAACTATAGGGAGCTTTCTAGAGGGCAATCACAATTCAATGTATATGAGGTGGTGAATCTCAAAAAGAAAGGAAAAAAGAAAAAATACACTAATTCAGGAACAGTAACCTTACTCTCTTTCTTGGTAGAAACAGAAGTTTCATTCCTTGACTATATTAAAGGACGAACGCAGATCAATTTCACAGTGGCTATTGATTTTACAGCATCAAATGGCAACCCTGCGCAGCCCACATCTCTGCACTACATGAATCCTTACCAGCTGAATGCCTACAGCATGGCTCTGAAAGCCGTCGGAGAAATCGTTCAGGACTATAACAGTGATAAGATGTTCCCAGCTCTAGGCTTTGGTGCAAAACTGCCTCCAGATGGAAGGATATCTCATGAGTTTGCTTTGGTAACAATGCATCATCACAAGGAATTTATGTTTTGAAACAAAATACTTGGGTCCTTTAATATCAGTTTGCTGCTTATGCTTTTAGTCCATCACATAGTAGCTCTTGTGACTCTAGAACCTGCACAATTTCTAAAGGATTGATTGAGGAGTGTGATACTAATGAGGAAAAGACAGTCACATAGATTGGCCATAAATCTACCTGACACACAGCTGACATAAATAGTCTGTCCTGGTTAATTATTGCCGCATAATAAACGTCCTTCAAAATTAGAGGCATCTACCAATACAGTTCCATTATATCCATAATCTGTGGGTCAGGAATTTGAGTAGAATAAAATGGGGAATAATGCATTTCTTCAAGATATCTGGGGCCTCTCCTGGGATGGCTTAGATGGCCAGAAATGGCTGGACTTGTTCAACTGGAGCCATATGTCTGGGCTTCATTCTGGCTGTCGGCTGGATTCCCCAGTTCTTTTGTGTGTCATGTCTGGGGCTCTTTTGTCCCCTCTGAAGCTTCTTTGCTCATGTGTGATACCCACGCTAGGATGGCTGCACGCCTCCCCCTCCTTCTACGTATAACCTGTCCAGGCAGTCACCGTGGGCTTCCCCACAGTGCGGCGGTCCGACGGTAGTCGGGTTTCTTACACTGCCACTAGCTTCCCCCAGCAAGCACTCTGCCAGGCTGGGGCAGAACCTGTAGGCTCTGTACACCGTAGCCTTAAGAAGTCCTGGAAAGTCATTTTTGCTTCGCTTGGTCAAGCGAGTCCCTAAGGTCAGTGCAGTTTCACAGCAGGGAAAGGACCTTCACCTCTCAGTGGGAGGGATGCCAAAGAATGTTTGGCTATCCTTCATCTGCCATCTTCTTAAATGCTATTTCTTTTCAAATTTAAAGGATGAGTTATGGCTAGAATTAATTTTTTTCAAATGTGAAGCAATGACTATGGTGGGAGTTAATTATGATTTCAATATAACAGAGTAGATATGACTAGAGTACATAGTTCTCTAATGTTTAATTTACATAGACAGACTCTGTGTGGTTAGATCATATATAGGCAATGTATTCCACTCTGCCTTCAACACCAAGTCTGCACAGATAGGGCTTATAGGCCCAGCCAGCCTACTGTCACTTGCCCTTCCCGATGAAATAATGGGAAAACCAATATAGAAATGGGTACCTATCATTTTGGAAAAAAATTTAACTTTTCCTAATACACGTGCCTCCCTGCCCGACCCTATATATGGCAGAAGTACATTCATCTGTCCCCAATATTTTTGTACATCTTCATTTGTTATTTTTATTCATGTTACAAAAACAATTGATGATCATTATAGGGATTTTTTAAAAACATTCTATAAGCAAAGGGTAAAAATAAACAATAATACTAAAAAATAAAATAGTCTCCAAAACTGATGAAAAGAACAAAAAAAAATTATCTTTTTTAATTATGTCAATGGCACAATTACTTTTAGATCCTTTTGCTCAAATCTGAACAAATTTGATTCATCTTAACTTCTTAGTCTTTCATATCTAATGGTCATGAACTTCTGTATTAAATTTTCTTTATATTTCTTACATATGTACACTCCTTTCCATTTCTATCACTATATCCTAGTCCTACTTTTTTTTTTAAATTTCTCGTTTCCTAATTTCCTATCTTTGTCCCTCATCACTTTTCTTTTCAAAATGTTGTGTAAACATTGCCAAGTTACTTTGCTCAAAAATACTTCTTTTATCATTATAGAATGGTCTTATGCTTTAAAACTGCAATCTAGAATTGCTTTTTATAACATTTAGAGTTCTTACCAAGACAGGATAAAAAAATGAGCTCAAATATCTGAATAATTGAAGTTACTTCTGTATCTATCAAGTATTATTAATTGGATGAATTGAATGGGAAACCAGTCTGAGTTTGACAGCTGTCTGAATCACAGAATATTTTCTAAATAGAATTTTACTTTCAAGTGGTAACAGTTCTTAGCTTCTCAACTGGGATTCCCAGAGAATTTAGCCCTTCTGCTCAGGGTATCCATTGTTTATAATGAATTAACTAATCTCCTCTGCATCTAGAGTCTTACTAGCCATATACCATCCTCAAGAAAATTAAGAAAATAGTCACCTAAAAAGTTTTCTGTAGGGCTTAGTCCTCTTGCAGAACCCTTGTTAATATGACTGGTATAGTAACTGAAATAAACTAATAAAATGTTATAAGATTTTGGATTTTGAATCTACCTTAATGACTTAGGAAAAAATACCACTTTGTTTATAATTAGCAATGCCCATTTGCATATAAACAATGAATACTGCCAAATTCAAACACTGTCCTACTTAAGAGAGCAAGGGGCTGATTATAAAACAGCCTCCTTGTAGTGCTGTCTACATATTATATGTCTCTGTTCCTTTATAGACTAAAATTTTACTATTAGTGAAGAACAGGCTGATGTATCTGAAATTTCTAAGTTATTTGGGTATGAATTAATGAGGTTTTTCCTGTTTACAATTTGAAAGAAGATTCGAACTGCTACAATATATATTGTCCAATATATACACATGTTTGTTACAATATTTTTATGTTAGAATTCCATGAAAAATACACATATTTTGAGAAAAGAAACTATGATTTAATATTCTGATTCTGGAGCTATCATTAAAAATGTTTTAAATCTAATTTTTAAAATTAAGAGTAGATAATATTTGTTTGTTAATAATACAAAGTAGTGACGTTGATGTATTTGGGTAGCATTTAGTTGTTAAAGTGACAAACGACCCAGAAATTTGCAGCTTTGACAAGACAGTATTTTTATCTTGCCTTCACATAGAAGTCCAGAAGTAAGCAATAGAAGGCTATTTTGCTCTACTTTTTTACAAAATCTTTTGAGGCCTAGGGGCTCTCTATCTTGATGCTCCTCTCTGCAGGCCTCCATTCCCAATATTACCTCATGGTTCAAAATGGTTGCTCCGCCTGAAGCCACCCTTTCATATTCTAGCCAGAGAAATAGGAGAAAGTCAAAATGAAGGGTATGCTCCTTCTGTTAAAGACATTTCAGTTAAGTTACACACTTCACTTCTGTTTACATCTCATCAGCCAAAACTGTTTTGATAAGCTTACTTACTGAAAAAGATGTTAGGAAATCATGTCTACTCCAGTCAACTATTTGCCCAGCTAAGAGTCTTCTATTAAGGGAAAAGGGGGATAATGGATACAGGAGACAATTTGGAGACTGCCACAGATCACAGTGTCCTAACTCTGCTATGTCTCCCAAATGCCTATTAATAAACCATACATACCTAACTCTTATCTCTTTGGGGGAGGAGGTAGTAGGATCTTTCCAAGCAAATTACACACGGTTGTAGCAGGCAAAATTCAATCCTGCTGGTTTTCAGCTAGGCTTGACCATCAAAATCATCACGGAGCTTTTAAGAACTAATACGTCAAGCCCAATCCTGGACCTATTAAGCTAGAATTATGGTGAGGAGGTCAAGAGTTTATTTTTAAAAGCATTACAGGCGATTCAGGTACATGGTCAGGTTTAGATGATAGCACAAGGATTCTTTGTTGGGACATGTGAACAACACTATTTCAGAACTGGTTTAAGGTAACAGCCTATAGGAAAGACTGAGTTAGAATTGTTAGCATCTCTTTAAATGTTTCTTTCTTCTCTCATATATTGGGCTTGGCTACATGTTCTTCTCTTCCAACTTTCATCAGCTTTCAGAGCAGTTCTGCCACAGCTCACATGACAAAGTAGAGAGGGAAAAGGGACTTTCAGATTGAAAAGTTTCCTGCAGGAGCTTAGGTGATAGGTAATGACAACATTCATTGCTATAAAGCAAACTACTTGAAGGCAGGCCTTCATCTTTATGAGGACCTTCAGAGCCCATGACATGGTAGATGCTCAAGAAATACTAGTACGGGGGAAGCACGAAGCTGTGTTGGTCACAGGCTGATTTAGCTCTCCGTCTAAGTCTGGCTGCTCCAGGGGCTTCTCGTGGGAAACTAAGACTCAAGATTTAAGGATTACCACTACCTAGTCTCAGATGAGAGTACCTCACTGACGTAATCTGATTTTACTGATAGAACACTGCTCTCAGAACTGCCTGGTGTCTAAAAAGGTAGATCAAGTTCCTGGCATACTGAATTAGTTTTCTGAGAAGGTCATATTCTGAGCCCCTCATGTTCCTTTTTGGCTATGGACCATGTGATGCTCACTTTCTAAGTAGCTTTTTCCTGGATCCCTTTGAAGGAAATTTTCTGACTGGGCCTCAGTTTTATTCCTGAGGTAATTGATATTACTGTTCTATGAAGTTACCTTAGATTGTACCATTGCTTATCAATGGAACTTGCTATTTTCCTGGCCTTGCAAAATCCCACTGTTTTCCTGGATTCTCTTTAGAACAAGGAAGAACAAGGATACTCAGTAGAAAGCATGTTTCATCTAAAATTTTAAGGTTACTTTTTTATTAGGTTGAGTTTCTCAACTATAGTTGTAGTCACCTGGTCTCACTAATTAAGCTATTTTTATTAAAGGAAACTAATGCCATCCTCCACTCTGTTACACATTATTTCATCCTATTTTTGTTTTTATTTAAGCATTTTGTCCAACACTTCTGGTTTAGATGAGCTTACTACTTAATCCCTTTGATCATGGCTATTGCTTCAGAAAGAGCTCCACTTACTTCTCCAGTAATGAACGTTGCCAGTTACCTAATAGTCTGTAATTACAGATGTTTAAACTTTGAAAAACCAGTTTTCTCCCTTCCCGTTTGCAGGACACAGACTTAAAGAGATTCATGTGAAGAGAAAAATCCATTGTATTGTTGCTGGCATAAAATGCTGTAGGTAGCTTTCTGCTTTTTGTCTCAACTCTTTTCAGTGTTTCTTCCCCTCCTACTTCTTCAAGAAAGTCCTAATTAGGGTCTAGTGGTTGTTAACACCTGTTTAATTTCCCCTTTAAGAAGGAAGGTGGGCTTTAGGTTTTGAGCAGTTAGCATTCTTCCCTAACATTAGCAATTGGAAAAGGTTAGTAAAGCAGTGGGC